AAATAAGCAAGCACAACTTACCGATTTCCGGAGGTAGGATTGACCACAGGGTACCAGTCAGGTGGTAAGTGATGTGCGTGTAAGTAGTGTGTACATGTGTAACCTGACACCCCCGATGAAGTCGGACCGCAGATCCCTAGGCGCTGCTTCTCTCCAAATGTGAGATCCCTCCAGGGAGGCGTTCACCAATTGAAAACTTCTGCTTTCACTTCACTGTATTAGTTTATCAACTTTATTGTACATTTAATTAACTTTAAATTCAACCAACTCAACGTTCATTGAAATTAAAACAAGTGACACACGACACCAGTAACGAACAGTCGTTCAAAGTTCAATATTCAATGTTCCGGCTTCACGTAGCACAAAATTACAAACACGGGAACGAACGCGGCCTCTTCTCGAGTCTCAAAGTTCAGCGTTCCACACAACAAGGCAAAATTCCCTCGCACGATATCAAAATGCCACGAAGCAACTCGCTGAATCAAAAAGTTAATAATTCAAACTCAATACAAGCCGTCCGTCGCGCAACAATTATTGGCAATCAGTTAATTTAATCACTTAAAACTCAAATTAGGCCTCTTGTCACGTAACACTCAAAACAGACACTCAATTCGAGGCGGTTCCAACCGGACCTAAATATTTGATAGCAAATTCAAACGACGCGAACAATTATGGACACCAGCCGCGCCTGACCCACTAACGGTCGCAAATAACACTAGTCGACAATGCCGCGGCGTTCAATACACTGTTGCTCGCCCACGCAGCCGAAAGACGGGAAGCGGCACACGCCCCCCCCCCCCCCCGGCGGCGTTTACCTCACCTCAATACTATCGGGTGACGCGCCGCGCGCGCATCTTGATGCAAGTTTTTAAAATATTACGATTTTGGCCTAAACAATTATAATATAAATATTTTACGTAATTATTGTTTTCCAAATTGGTTACTTGTTCTTGTGGTGTTAATAAAAGAAATAATCTTAATAATTGTACATTTCACGAGTAAATTCTCAAGACGTCGTCAATAATAAGACGCATCTATTTTTGGTTAAAATTTATGTTATATAATGTTTGAAATATATAATATATTCTATTATTTTTTTAATTTTGCAAAGAAAAGAATCACGTTGCTGATAATTTGCATGCATTTGGTAAATACATTTTTATACGAAATATTTTACATGTTCGGTAGGGATTGACTCAACTATATCAAAATTAATGTCGATATTTATCATGAATGTTTATAATGAATCGATAGACTTGCCCATACAACAAGAAAATAAATCATCGGTTTGTGTTCTTAAATGTAATTTTATTTTGCCGTTTGTCAAATGATTACCTCCGGATTCAACAATTAAAAAACAAATGGTTAAGGTTAATTGGGCTGGTTAGTTGAAATCCAAACAAGAACTCGACAATTTGCAGCAAACATTTTATTGAGAAGTATAAAACAAAAAGTAAAATAAAAACGATTTTACGAAAAGGAGCCATTTCTACATTATTTGTACGAGTAAGTATAAAAAAGTAACAGTAAGACTTCTAAAATATGTATGTTGAAGTAAGACTTCAAAAATTTAAGATAATTAAATTAAAAATTAAATTAAATTAAATTAAAGATTTATACTTTCCATCAGCGCGCCGGAGTCTATGTTTACGTCCACAACGACATCTGCTGTAAGCGTCTCCATCACCTTGAAGACCCCTCTTTCTCTACGATCTGGGTATTGATAGACACAGGAATGGATAAAATTATTTATTCTTGTGTCTACCGATCGCCCAGCGGTGACGATGAGACAACTAGGTTGTTTTAACACCTCAGTGAAACCTCTGATGTGGCTCTAAATCGGTACCCTAATGCACAGTTGGTTTTTCTGGGGGACTTTAAAGCCTGTCATCAGGACTGGCTGTTCCCATACCAAAAGACCGACTACGCTGGTAGAGAGGCGTGGAATTTTGCCTTGTCGCTGGGGCTCTCCCAGCTGGTACAACAAGCGACTAGGGTACCTGATGTGTGGAATATCTTGGAGACTCTGCGTGATACAGTGTATGCAGAAAGCAAGCATATTTTAACTTGGTACAATTGTACATATTTAAAAAGCAATTACTGACTAAATGAGGTGAAATCTTATGCCTTTTCGGTATATTAAAACAAAAACGCATACATGCGTTCTGCAGTATCTGTACATTCTTCGCAGTTTTTTAAATAAGCAAGGACCATAAACAATATCACAATAATAAAGGTGGCATAGTACCAAATTGTTGCAAAGCAGCAGTCTAATGTCACGTTTTAGAAATTTGCGAATTTTATACAATTATTTAAAGAACCATAGCATTTGCCGATTTATGTCTGAACATGTTGCTTAAATTTTAAATTCTCATCCATGAAGAGACCTAAATTGCGAATACAACCCTGGTCTCCCACCCTCTACCCTCAGATCTTAACAGCAGGCTTCCGTTCATTAATCATTTTTACTCGGTGCTTTGTTTCAATTTCCAAAAGGTAATACAACCATATGTTTGCTTAACACTTAATAAAGCTAATTTGGTTCATATATTTGAAACATAGCATCTTCAGCCGATCAGCTGTCAGCACCATATCCCCACCGTTAATTTACATAAATATTATGATGCAAGCAAAAGTTAATTAATTAATATTGTCTAACGAGTTGGTAACTTATGCTAACATAGCCTAGGTACAATGAAATTTTATGGATCACATGTTATGTTCCATATGCTAAGTTATTACTTATACCAAGGCACAAACAACAAAATAAATTATACTAATAATGCCATTCCTCTCTCTTAAGATGTGTAATGTGCTATACATTATAAACGTAAATGTACTAAGGTCTTTGTTATTCCGAAACATAGAACAATGGCATTTAGAGGGTCCTTCAGGTACGCAGCTTCTCGTTGCTGGAACGATCTGCCGCCACCAATACGTGCTCTAAAAACTATAGGAATATTTAAAAAGAAACTGATATTAATTTTAAAACAAGACTATAATCACAAATAATAAATAAAAATTTCCTTTTTTTACGTGTACAATTTAAAGGGCCTCCATTTAATACTAAAAAGATATGATGACTGTAAGATTCACTGTATTTATTTATTTTTTTATCTCTAGACTAATTTTCAGATCACTTTCTGTTTCGTTTCTTTTCGTTGATGGTGTGGTTAAATCTTCTTGGTCTTGAATTAAATTCAAATGTTTAGTTTATTTTATTAAGATTAGACGATATATTTCATGTTGTTGAGCTGTTGAGCACTTGATCATGTATGTGTACATATAAGTGTGTATGGATGTATAGATATATATGGGTTCATATGTAAGTGTATGTTTATGATTGCTTAAACAATGTATTATTATTTCCAAATAATAACTCTTATTATGCTGATTCTGTCCCCACACTGAATATTTTTCTTTAAGTTTTAGCTTTAGGTAAAGTATGACCGTCCGTGAAGCCAATATTAGGCTCCATTTGAAAATCAGCGCTGCTGTCATCTAGTTCAGCAGCTGTTAGCTGAAATAGGGACCTAATTTGACTTTACACAAATCCTGTTTTTTATATGTCGTGTTATTTTATTTATCTTTTTCTTTGTGATGTCAAATAAAGTTTTCTTTCTTCCTTTCTTTCTTCCTTCTAAACACCAACTACTCAAAGAAAGACTTGCCACTCAACTTTATAACTATTTTGCTTTTATTAAACTTTCAACTTTGGTGATCTTTTCCTTGTGACGTGCTCATTAAATTACTACAACTCTACTTCTTGAAAGTGTGGGACCTTACAAATCATACATTTTATGGTTTATTTTTCATTATATATATATATATATATATATATATATATATATATATATATATATATATATATATATATATATATAAATATATATATATATATATAATAAAAAATAAAGCAGCCATTATGTACTCCGTGTCCGCATTTTTATTTCATCAGCAAAACATTTTATAAAATATTTGAAATGTAAATAGGTATATAGTTAATTAAGTATCTACCTATTTATATTTAATTAACTTTAAGTTAAAAAAGAAATTCCGGGGAAACTGTCCATGCCAGTAAATATTTCTATTCTTAAGGTCATAGGTCGAAAATACAATTTTCCGATCTGATTCTTAGAGAAAATTGGTTTATTCGGTACTCAACTCTTCAGAGCTTATTGGGATTATGTATACTTTGAATTAAAATCTAACAAACGCATGTAAATGCTGCTTATTCTCGGGAACATGTAATATGAATATTTTTTTTTTAATTTATAATATCATGTTAAAAATTCAGTTCATTTTTGATGTTATTTAGTTTCGTGCACTAAAGTATATTTTTAATCTTTATACTGCTTTCTTAACAATCATTTTTTGATAGTCGTTGTAAGTAGAATGCACATCACTAGCTAACCCACACAATGACAAATCAAAATTTGAGGTTACACATTTTCGGGCTGTCAGGTCGTCTATACGCCAATATGTCTATGACACAAACTAGTAAGAAGTGCTGGCTCAGTCCAGCGTTGCCAACCGTACTATTTAAATCGTATTCATACGATCTTTTTGACCCTAGTACGATGTACGATCACGTATTCGAAATCGTACGCAAAATGTACGATCTTTACAAATCTTATAATCTTTATAACAAAATAAAATTTATTATTGATTAAGTACATTTTATCGATATGAAAAATCAAAATTCTTCTTAGCACTATCCTTTATATGAAGACCAAATATATTTTTATCAAAATATGTTAATTTTAATTTATATATTAATTTTATTTAATGAATGCAAAAACAAACATATAATAAAATATCAAAAATTAACGACCAAATTAAATGTCAAACATCTGCGTCGACGTGAGAACGAAACGCAACCGTCGACTACGAACGCGGATCATAGATTAAACGCGGTCTATAATCTGTCTAAACAAACTGAAACAAACTCTGGATGATGCAACAATTAGAGTATTATCGAAAGGTCTTAATTTTGCTATAACACCGAAAAAATTACCGTACGAACAAATTATCTGTAGTGTCGAGGACTGTTTATTTAAAAACAATATGCAAAAGGAGGATTTGGAAGCGATACGTCAAGACATTTCGTCCATGTTACGTCGAAGTTCAGCGCCAAAACCGAATCTACCTAAAGACGAATTCAAAGCGTTGACTAACCTACGCAATAAACCAGAACTCACGATTCTCCGCGCAGATAAGGGAAATGCCACGGTAGTTATGGATACGTCAGATTATAATTCTAAAATACAAGAACTTTTGTCGGATGCAAGTACGTATAAAAAGGTTAAAAATGACCCAACAAATAACACACTTAAAACAACTAGTGATCTCATAAAGAAACACTCCGAAAAATTAAATCTAGACGTAAAATCGATAATACCTATGTGTGCTAAACCACCGAAGTTGTATGGGTTACCAAAAATACACAAGCCCAATGCTCCACTACGTCCTATAGTGAGCCAAATCGATTCACCAACTTACAGATTGGCTCAATACTTAGCGAATATACTCTCACCGCTCAAGGGACATACAAGAGCACACACAAAGGATTCCTACCATTTTGTCAGCGAGATTAAAGACCTACATCTGGCAGACAATGAAACTATGGTGAGTTTTGATGTGCAGTTTCTGTTCACATGCCTACCAGTTGAAGACTGCATCTCGATTGTTACTAGAAGGCTAGAGGAAAACAACATGCCCGTAGAATATGCAGTATTACTCAGACACTGCTTTACATCTGGCTACCTATTGTGGAAGGAGGAGTTCTACAAGCAAGTAGATGGAGTGGCGATGGGCTCACCTGTATCTCCCATTGTCGCCGATATATTCATGGAGGACTTTGAGGAGAAAGCCCTGCTTACTTCTCCCATAAACCCAAGATTCTACAAGCGGTACGTAGACGACACTTTCACAATTCTACCTTTAGATAAAGTAACTGCATTTTTAGACCATCTTAACTCCTTAAATTCTAAAATTCAGTTCACAATGGAGTTAGAGGCAAACAATTCTTTAGCTTTTCTAGATGTATTAGTAATTCGGAATCCTGATAACACCTTGAGCCACACTGTGTATAGAAAAAAGACCCATACAGATAGATATTTAAACGGTAATTCTCACCACCATCCTTCACAGTTAGCTACCGTGGGTAAATCTTTGTTTCAGAGAGCACGAGGGATCTGTGACAGTAAACACCTGGCCGCCGAGCTCCAACACGTCAAGCAAGTTTTGCACGACAATAAGCTTCGGGTGCCGCGCCTACGTCACAGTGAACGAGTGAAGCCGGCCACAGTCGAGCGAGTGCCTGCTGTACTGCCATATGTCAGAGGGGTCACTGACAAGATTGGCTACATCTTGAAGCGTGCTTCCATTAAAACATATTTCAAGCCGCCGAAGAAGATTAGTCAGTTTTTACTATCAGTCAAGTGTAATATTCCTCTGCAAGATGCAGGAGTGTACAAGCTGGATTGTGAATGTGGTCTCTCTTATATAGGACAAACTAAAAGATCCATAAAAACCCGCGTTAAAGAACACATAGCTGATGTGAAGAATAGACGCCCCGGGAAGTCTGCAGTCTGTGAACATGTACAGGATCGCCCCCGTCACTACATTAGATTTGATAGACCACAAATCCTCGCTAAAGAACACCGATTCCTTCCAAGGATGATTCGCGAGGCTATTGAAATCAAAAAACATCCTAATTTCAATAGAGAAGATGGCTGGGTGCTACCATCTGCTTGGGATCCCATAATTAATAAAATTAAATCCCAACCCAAGCATACAACTGCAAGACTTCATGATACTGTAAGTTCATACTGCGTAGATCGGAACAAAAATGAATAATTTTTAATCTGGAGGTAGCCGTGGTTAACTATGACATTGGGACGTCATACACCTCAGTCCCCCCCGTGACCATGGGTGCTGTAAAGTGCTTGAAACGTCGGGAATGTAAAATAAGTTAATATACGCGATAAAATCCGTAAAATTAGTTTCATTTAAATAAGCTATCTTTCTGTTGATTTATACGATTAGTTGTTTAATGATTTCTTATATTTACGCGAACACTACACATTGAATAAAACTGTTTTTTTATGGATTTTATCGCGTTTATTTTACTATTTTTATTCCCGACGTTTCGAGTGCTTTACCGCGACCCATGGTCTTCTTCTTCTTCTTTCTTTTTTATGGCGGTTTTGATCATTCGCCAATGTCAGCGTGAAAGCGTTTATTGAGTAGAAGCTCAGTAGTTACAAAAATCTATGCCCATATACAAGAGAAGATTGTGATAGTACAAGTATCTTTTTTCCTTTAAACCAATTTTTCCCCCTTTTATCTTGTAGTACTAATGATTGTACTGTTGAATTATCTAGAACAAATAACAAACACGGTTGCTATAACTACATTAGTATGTTAGTATTGACAAACATTAAACTTTTATACTATTAGTGTTAATAAAATCACACAGAATATATACATAAGGAGTGTTTGTGTAGGTTAAAAGTGACGCAAAATTTATAGGACGAGGGATGTCAGGAGGGAGATAATCATAGAGTGAACAAGATAATATAGGACAGTTAAAAAAAATATTTTTAGCCATCAGATCGGCTGTTTCATTGCCCTTGATGCCACTATGACCTGGAGTCCAAGGTAAGGAAACCCAAATGCCCTTGAGATGACATCTATACAATGTGTGTTTAATTTTGAGGATCAAGGGTATCTTATATTTACTTTGGAAATGGTTTGACAAAATTGCTAATAAACAACTTTTGGAGTCGGTAAGAATAACTGACTTATTTAAGTTGTGTGCTTCTATATATATTAAAGCTTCATGAATTGCCGTGGCCTCGCCAGTAAAAGTGGAAGAAATAGAAGGGCATTTAAAATTAAGAATTATTTTGTATCTGTGAATCCAAACTGCTGCTCCAGTACAAATTTCATATGACTTTTTGGAGGCATCAGTGTATATAATAAGCCAGCCTTTCCATAAATTATCTATGACCCTACTTACTTTACTATTTGCTATAGAGCACAAGCTATAGGGCAATCTTTCTCAATACCAAGGTCAAGGTGGATATTTGGTTGGAAAATGATTGCATCATATGGGATATCAAATATGGGACTGGACTTGCATTGTGATACTGGGTGTGGTAGATGGAGTAATGTTACCAAACTGTTGGATAAGCAGGGAGATTCTTTACGAGTCCAGTAATGCTTTGATGAAATATGTTCCAAAAGGAGGTGTAATTTAGAAATGAGAGGGTGGAAAGAGAGTTGGTAGATTTAAAAAAAGAATCGGTCCGAAAGATATTGTCTTCTTAGGTACAGGGGGGGGGGGGGGGTCCACACATTCAACTTGGAGAGCATTTATTGGGGAAGATTTCATTGCCCCGATGATTATACGAAGGCTTTTGGATCAATCAATCCTATCGATCTTTAGGGAAGACTTATTACATGGTTCCAAGACAAAACATCCATAATCTAAATGACTACGAATAAGGGCGTTGTACAAGATTTTTTGGGAGAATGGGTGGGAGCCCCACCAGACACCCGATAAAGCGCGAAGGATGTTTATATTTTTTTTCACATTTTTTTTAGACATAGTTGATGAGAAAAGGCTAGTTTGGAGTCAAGAATAACTCCTAAAAATTTTACAACTAATTGGGATAGGTTCATTATTGTAGAAAATGTTGATTTCAGGGACTTGCCTATGGCGAGAGAAGATTACAATACTGCTTTTGGGAACAGACAAAGACAAACCATGATCAGATAACCAATCCTGTAAATAAGACATTGACATATTCAAACGGGAACATGCTGCAAGCAGGTTATCTAGGAAAAAGCATTTTTTGCCTGAGCACAGGAAGAAGTACATTGTCATATGCAGACGAGATGTCTAGGGAGACTCCAACAAGGTATTCATGTTTAGAGTAAGCTATACGAATATCAGTAACTAGAGTACTAATGCTATCCATGCTTAAGCCCTTTCGGAATCCAAATTGGCTTTTTGCTAAAAGATTTTTGCTTTCAAGAAACCATTCTAAACGATTTTTTATTAGGTGTTCAAGAATTTTGGCCATTGTGCAAGAAAGAGCAATAGGGCGATAGCTTGCGGGATCGGGAAGATAACTTGGGATTTCCATTCTTCAGCAGGAATACCGAACATGTAAATATAATTCAAAATAGAAAGAAGATGGGCTTTAGTAGATTCACTGCTATTAGTAATAAAAGAATACGGGATTCCATCGATTCCTGGTGAAGTGTCTTTAAGGACACTAAGAACAACATATAACTCCTCATAAGAGATAGGGGAGTCAAAACTGTGTTGATAGTGCAGGGACTGTGATTGAAATACTATACATTCATTGTAAGATAGTACTGAAGGAGGAGCAAGCTTACTAGCAAAATTTTCTAGTCAATAAGATTGATTATAAGAATTTGTGTTTTCAGGGGCCGAAACTGAACACCGGAATTTTTTTATATTTTTCCAGACTAGTGATGGATGTGTCCTAGGCGACAGTGACTCACAGAATTTAAGCTATCCAGCCATTTTCTTTTCAGATAGTAATTTTAATGTTTCAGCAGCAGGTTTTTTATAAAAAATATAGTTATCAAAATTCATAGAGTGGGAATATCTTAATTCAGCTTCCTTTCTCTTCTTGCATGCTACAGAACAATCTTGATTCCACCAAGGCGGTGAAGGAGCATTATTTTTATAAGGTTTTTTGATGGGAATTGTCTTATTGGCAGCAGATAAAATAGCATTTTTAAAAGTAGAATACACCTGGAGAACATTCCCTTTCTGAACCGGGGAAGGGCTGAAAGTTCTTCCTCTAGAACAGTGAAATGCAGATGCCAGTTTGCTTTGGATGTGTTTTATTTTAACCTAGGTTTAAATGGTACATTGACTGTATAGGAGTTAGGAGGATTGATAACAATAGGAAAATGATCACTGCCATGGGAAATGGGTAATATTCTCCAAGAAAGAAGGGATGACAGAGCAGGAGAACGGAGTGACAGATCTACTGCACTTTTAGGATTTTGGAGGGGGGAAACTCTACGTGTAGGTGAACCATCATTAAGGAGGCAGAGATCTAAATCATCAATGACGTCTAAAAATGTAGGAGACCAGGGATCACAAAAATGGGAGCCCCATAAAGTATGCTGCATATTAAAATTACCAAGAATTACCATAGGAGGAAGGATGGTGGATATAATCTTCGTAAGTTCTGATAAGATATTTAGACTAGGTTCGGGAATGTAAATAGAAAGAAAAGAAATGTTATGAGCTCTAACTGCTACGGCATTAATTGAAGGAATATGAGAAGAAAGGGAAATTAATGTATAAGTAATTGATTTTGAGATAAAAATGAAAGAGCCAGCATAACCATCACTCCCAAAATGGGACCCAGGCTTTAGCCATGTCTCTTGGATGGCTAGGATAAGGGGATGGTATTTATTAATAAGATATGTTAGTTCGTTTTTCTTATTTTTAACGCTCCGGCAGTTCCATTGAAGTATTGGAGGGAAAGTTATTCGTTAAGGAAATGAGCTCAGTAAGTTTTTGGCGGAGGGCAAGTGGGAGATCCATGTCGCTGAAACGGGAAAGCATACTTATAAGCAAGGAGACCATTAATTCGCAGAGATTGTCATTAGGGGAAATACTCCGCCCTATTAAAGCACACCCATTAGTAGATGAAGAAGAAGGGGTATCTATTATTGCATCATGGGCAGATTTATCATATCCATGAATGTAGTCTTCCTGTAAGAATGAGATTGTGAAGAGACAACTGAAAGTAAAGGGGGATTTGAAATAGGATAGGAAATCTGATGCTCATACGAAGGAAGGGTTCTAGCAGTATCTGCATAAGATCTACGGACTTGAGGGAAACGGGCAGATGCTTCTAGATAGGAAATATTTTCCTGTGACATTGTAAATTTGATAGATCTCTGCCTAGAGTGTTCAGGGCAGGAAGGATCTTTAGCTGTGTGAGATCCTGAACAAAAAAGGCAAGTGGGAGACTGTCTTGTGCATGATATACCTTCATGATTTTGAGCACACACAAAACAACGGGAAGATGACCTACACTGTGAAGTAACATGTCCAAAACGGCAACATTTGTGACATTGAATAAGTGGTAAAATGTAGGGCTCAACAGGCATTGAGTTGTAAAAACAATAAATGTTAGAAAGAAGTTTCTGGCCGAAAAAAGGTAAAAGGACTGTTTAAGAGGGAATCCACACAGTGATTTGGTTTTCATTAACTGATTTTCTATTAAATCGGCTAATGATTGAGCCAAAACCAGCTGGGACCTCGATTGATGAAATGAGGTCCTCTAATGTAGATTCTACAGGGACCTGCCTCACTATTCCCATGCGAGTGATATTATAAGAAGGGATTACAGTATCATATTTAGCACCTGCAAGGGCTGTGTTCTAAAAAAAGCAATTTGCATCAGCTGCACTTTTAAATTCGACTGAAATTCTATTGCGCCCTACTCGCTTAATACCGTCGCTAACAACATTTTTAATATTATTATGGTAGAGAAAATGAACAAACTTTATCGGTTTTAAAACTACTCCAGATGATAAATCATCTACTATCTTACTTACAAGTACAATAAAGGGCGCACTGTCGTTATTAGAGTATTTATATTTTTTTTCTATGTAGTCAGGATGGGTATAAGAGGTCTGAATAGATGGTACAGATTGAGATGGATCTGTAATAAATCTTTTCTGTGGATGAATTGAGTTATTGGTTGCTTACGATCTTTTACGATTCGACTGATCAATCTCGATAGGCATATTTTTTTTGGTACCCGCATGGGAGTCACATGGAACCCCGTCGGGATCGGGAGGATCTTCCTCCATTTTATTTAACTAATTACATATACAACAACACAATTACTAAATACTTACGGATTTATAACTACTAAAACCAACACCAACAGAAATAATAAACAAAAAAGTAAATCAACAGCTCTCAGAAGTACGAAATAGCCAAAAACAGAACTACTGTAGTATTTTTACAATAAAATATCCGTTGGTTTTAGTTGTGTTATTGTGTAGTGTATGTGTATGTGGTGTGTGCATGTTGAGGTATGGTATATTTAGTAAATTATTAATTATGTGTAACAAGTTAAGTAATTTTGTCTAAAAGTGTTTCGGTTTCGTTGTAATTTAAATTTTTCAACCATTCTATTGTTTTCTTTTTAACTTCTATGCTATACAATGGATATATGCTTAAGATTTTATTTATTTTATTATATAAGTATACTGCCCTTTTCTCATATTGTACTGAAGCAAATGTCGTTTTACAGCGATCGGTATATAGAACTAAGTCGTTTCTTCTTTTGTTTATCTTGTCTCGTTCATACCTAGTAGATTTGTGAATTTTAAGCAATAAGAATAAAATATATAACTTTCGAACTGACAAGACACCATTTTTCTATACACAGTGTGACCAATAGTGTTATCAGGATTTCGGATGACTAAAACATCTAGGAAAGCTAAAGAATTGTTTGCCTCAACTCCATTGTGAATTGTATTTTAGAGTTTATGGAATTAAGGTGGTCTAAAATGCAGTTACTTTGTCAGATGCTTAAAAAAAAAATAGTAAAATAAACGCGATAAAATCCGTAAAAACAGTTTTATTCAATTAACTGTTTAACTTTTTTAATTATTTTGTAATTTAAAATTATCTCAGCGCTTAATAGATAGATATAAGTATACTTTTCGATGAAGTGTGAGTTTATGTTTAATGAAAAAGTAAAAGTAACCCTATTTTTGTTATAGAGGGCAGAGTGGGCACGGTCCGAGCTCCTATTCATTAATAAAAAAAAATGTCGTCTTAAAGCATAGACATAGTAATCCTCTATCTACGTCTTAAAGTATAGTGTCAGATACATATATGTTACTAGTATACAGTTATCTGTGGTTATACCCAGGCTGGTGCAACTTCCATAGTAAAAATTATATGTACTACAGGGGTCAAATTTTAATGACGGTTACACTTCTTTATGCTTTTCGTGATATGTCTATTAACGAGATTGTCAAATGAAAGAGGTTCAAATGTCAAATCAAACAATTATATTTGTATAAATTTTATTAATTAAGACTGCTTTTAATTTTGCTATAGGAGCCGTTGTTCATTTACAGAATTGTTAAGAAATTAAATATGCATTATAAAACTTTCCAATTAAATGGTGCAAGAAGCGGAAAAAAAGGCTATTCGTAACAATATTTCCCTTAGATGATGAAAGGTATGTGGTGATTTCAACTTTAATAGTAATATGATATTCAACGCCAGTATATTTTTGGACTAGCCATCTACGTAGGACATGTTTTTATAGTGTACGATTGTGTGCACAAAAACAAACACACTATTTCCTAAATCTGATAGTTCGATGGTGTAGCAATCCGAAACGAACTATACTTAGAAACTACAAGTCAATTCTGACTGCTAACATTCTATTTGTTCAATAATAATGTGATTTTATTTATTTTATTTTTTCAGATGCAAGCAATGGGTGAAATAGCTGGCACATGCACCAATTGAAAAGATTCACATGTTAAGACATGCTTGTGACAAACATTGCATATGAACCCAACTAAAACGAACTGTTATTTCTTTAGTGGACTTACTTTAAACTTCCACAATTTATGTGTATGTTAACCCTTAAATGCATCTTGTATCGATATTGATACATTGCATTCTAATAGTTTTTATCGGTTTTTTATTTGAAGTACAGCATAGGCTGAATGTTTACACGTTTCTTTGCCTTATTGCCCACAAACAAACAAAAATGTCATGTGTCAATGTTATTTCTGAAAGATGATTTTCTTGTCTGTGCTAAGGACATCAACAAGGTGCGTATAATCAGAAGACTGAGTTTTTCATCTAGCGGCGAAAACGAAAATAAGTCGAATTTTTACCAATAAAAATCACAAAATGGATGGTAAGTCCTTCATTTACTTGAAAACATTTGAAATTGTACGACTTTCATGTGTTTACGTGAGCAAATATCGCGTTTTATGTTTGTATCGAAAACGATACAGCATGCATTTGATTCCCGCCTAAACCCAATTCAATTGTTTGTTCATAACGGTTTTGCTTATGATTTTGCTTGCTTTTAGATACACAAAACTATACGTTTACGTTGTTAATATATAGATGAATGTATATTTTTGCTTTTCAGAGCAACAAATAGAGGATATGCTCAGGAGGTTGGAGAATGGTGACATTTCGGAAGATGATTTAGAGTCAGATGGAGAAAATATTCCTTATAACCCATATCTAGGAGCCTTAGCAGCTGAATTAGAGGACGATGAAGACGTTCTTACGGGACAGGACAATTCAGAAGATTTTCTGGACCAACCATTGATTCAGGATGAGCAGCTTGTGCAATGCGCACAGTCGTTGGAGCGAGTGGAAGCACAACCGACTGAATCTCTCATGAATTTGAGGAATTTACTGTGGAGAAAACAGTCTTTTCTATTTGATGAGAATAACATCAAATTTGGTGGGTCTGAAGAGTTACCTTCATCTATAATGAAACTGCAAAGTCCGTATCAGTTTTTTATCTACTTTTTCACGAATCCGTTTATGGAAAACATTGTTACTGAATCAGCACGCTATGCTGTCCAGAAACAACCTGACAGACCTGAAATATTCACAGAGGGTGAACTTCGCAAATATTTTGATATTTTAATATTTATGTCTGTTTACCATTATCCGAGCACAAGGTCGTATTGGTCTAATAAATTTAGCTTCAGTCCCATCAAAGAGGCAATGCCAATAAATAAATTTGAGAAAATGCGAAAGTTACTGCACTTCAATAATAATGATGATCATCTGCCAGTAGACCACGTGCAGCATGACAGGCTTCATAATTTACGTCCTATAATCACCCATTTAAATGAAAAGTTCTCTAGCGTGACCATCGAGCAGCGATTATCTATAGATGAACAGATGTGCGCCACCAAAGTGGGACATTTTCTCAAACAATATCTCCCCAACAAACCCCAGAAATGGGGTTTTAAATTGTTTGTTTTATGCAATTTGAGCGGTTTTGCTTATAGATTCATAATCTACTCTGGGAAAGAAGCTAATGAAGGATCCTCAAACAGTCAAAACCTGGGAGTTGTAGGACAAACAGTTATGAATTTTCTGAGTGTGGTACCCAGGCAAAGAAATCATATTGTCTATTTTGACAATTACTACACATCTTTGCCATTGATGTGTATACTTGCTAAGCAAGGT